GGACATGACCGAGAAGGAGAAGTTAACAGATTCCTGACGTTGTCAACCAGGTGGCCATTCATTAGGAGACAAACAAGCAGGGAGAAAAATATAGGGGGAAAAGCTATGAATTTATCAAATTTGAGGTGGAAATGTTTGATACATCTTTGATTTAGGACCATAAAGAGAGGCTTGAACAATGACAGAGCGATGGTGGCTGAAGCCAAAGGAGGAGATGGGGTGACACTGGGTGGGTTATCCAATAAAGCACATGGGGCTTAGCGGAATGACACCAGGGCAGGACAGATGGAAAAGGAGGAACTGCACAGAAATCTAGAAGGAAGGGAGAAGGATTAGCTTTTTTTTTAACCTGAGTCTGAGACAGGATATTTTCAAAACCATGTGTACTTCTGTCAAGGATTCAAGTAAGAAAGGGTGAAGATGTGGGTGTAGGAAGGCCTGGGAAAGGCTGAAGCCAGTGGAGAACCGAGGGAGAGGGAAAGGTGGGGAGAAGGTGGTCCGCAGCGCTCCAAGGGCATTGGCAGACCGAAGGAAGAGGGGAAGCGAAAGTGCCAAGTGTGGGAAATAAGGAGAATCTTCTCCCCTGGACCTCCCTCACTCGCTTGTCCCCAACCTAAATGGGAAGTATTGAGGAGTTAAATATCTCTAGGAAACCTTGAGGAAAGATATCAAATCCTGAGGGCAAGTGGAATAATTAGCCTTCAATTCTAGGAATTATTTAAATTCCTTAAGAGAGAAAAGAAGGAAAGACTCCTGTAGATGCATGCACAGTGGTAGATTTTATCTTAAGTATTTGGAAATCTTGGCTATGCATGGCTTCTTCTGCATGAAGGGAAGCTGCAGGATCCTTTACTAGAGCAATGGGAGACATGGTGAGTTTGGTGTTCAGGGGAGATTGAAAGGTGCTGTATTGTTAATGACATTGACATAAACATTCCATATGTTATTTCACAAAGAACAGAATTTTGCAATCTGCCTTAGTTATGTAATCCTTGCAGACCATCCTGACAGATAAAATGAGAGGCAAAATGAAAATAAATGGATGGGTTAGATTATATTTTTGTGCCCTTTTGTTATGAATTTTTCTCTTCCTACCATATTTGGATAAGTAGAAAAATTTTTATCGATATGATATACAATATTTTCATTTTTTAAACATCATCTTGAGATTATTTTTCAACCCATGCTTATCTTGATTCACAATACACATTTACATATAATGTTGATAATTTTCCAGAAACAAATCATGGCAGATATTTCTGAAGTCACAGACGTGGCACATTGCCTGGTTTAACTTTCTGTAAACACTGCAGCATCAAAAGTGGATTTTTAAAGAGTAATTTTGGAAATATACTTCAGTGCAACCTTGGGGGAAAAAGACCTTACAAGAGAATATACTAAATAAATATTAAATAAAAGGACATGAACTTGGAAAATGGTTTCTGATGCTGACTCACTCACTTTATCTGGTACCTGCTATTTCTGTCACTTGCAATTTAACTAATGTGACATGTCATTTGTGGATGACATTCATAATGTTTCTAAATTAATCGTCTCTAGCATCCACAAGCCCACTGCTTTCAAATTTCAGTTTCTAAATAGATTGTTACAACTCCATTAATCTAAACCTAAAGTCAAAGAGGTAAGTGGCAAAATTAAAGTGAGTTCCAGTTGAAACTCAAAACTGCAAAATAATCAATTTAACTCAGTTTTTCAAGTAGAAAGTAGCTGTTTCATTAATTTATCAGTTTTCTCTGCTATATATTACTTTAGTAGCTTCAGATGCACACTGCATCATTTCTTATATTTAGTTATTTTGCTCTTCTGTGCTTGAAAGGAGCACTGAGAAGGACAGTGTGGATGACCAAGAGATGAAGGGGGAGGGATGGTACAACCAAGTGGATAAAATAACTTTAAAGTGTGTCTTTTGCTGATTGAGAACTTGTTAACGGGATCTGAGCAGAGAGAAATTACAGGATCTGAGTTACTTTCTAGAGCTTTCTTTGGATGCTGTTTTGAGAAAGAGAGCATGGGGCCACACATAGAAACAGAAGATGGAGGCTACTCCTATGCTAAGTGAGGGATCCTGGCAATTTTTAATCAGAATAGCAGTGGTGAATTTGGAGAGAGGTAACTGGATTTATAATTGTTGTAAAGGCTCAGCTGATGAACCAAATTGATTTGCTTTTAATTTGGATGGCACATGAGAGGATTGAATTAATACATCGTGGTCCACGGGGAAGATGGGATTGATATCTGCTGAGCTGGTGAAGACTGATGGACCAACAGGTTTGAGGGAGAAGTTCTGACTTTGGCTTTCCAGGGTGTTGAGTTTGAGATGTCTACAGAGGTGAGAAATTGGAACCTGGAAATATATCCCAAGTTCAGTAGAAAACACAGGCTTCAAATAGACATTTGGAGACGGTCAGCATTTTTATTAGTGCACAATGCCACCAGTACATGTGAGCTGATCTACAGAGCAGTGTGAAGTTCACAGGGGCAAGGATGAACCTTGTGACACTCCAAAATTCTATTCTGTATTCCAGCCCATCCGGGAAATTTGTCTAAAGATACATTGTGAAATTTCTTAGGGGACAATCTTTTATTATCTTTAAAACTTGTATTTGCTCTGTCATAAACTTCTGAAATTTATGAATGCAATGTACTAACTGGGCACGGTGACACATGCCTGTAATCCCAGCAACTCAGGAGGATGTGAAGAAGGAGGATCACAAGTTCAAGTCCAGTCTCAGCAATTGACCAAGACCCTTAGCAACTTAGCAAGGCCCTGTCTGAAAATAAGTAAATAAGTAAGTAAGCAAATTAATTAATTAATTAATTAAATAAAAAGAGCAATAGACAATGCAAGTCTGGCTCAGTAGTTAAGTTCCTCTGAGTTCAATCCCAAGTACCAAAAAAAAAAAAAAAAAAAAGTAAAGAGATTAATGCAGTATACTCTTGCCTTTTCCTGAAGATACTAGTTACTTTTAAAATCAGTGTATTATTTTATTCAGTAGTTTGTGTCCTCTTGTTAGTGTCTCCCCTCCACCTGGCATTCTGTTTCTTAATCTTGGTGCTAGCCATTTTTTCCCTTTCTTCTTGCTCCTGGGTTCTTTGAATGTTCAGAGAGCTTTGATTTTGACATTGACATTGATGAGTGAAAATAGAAATTTTAAAGTGTCTGGTGTGGATTTCCTTTGCTGTTGTTTAGGGAAATTTACATTCTGACTCTTTTAGACAATGAGAAGATTTATTGATTGACATAGTTTCTTGTGGATTAAAAGCTAAGACTTCTGAAAGTAAGCCAGGGCCATCAAGTTTCACAAGAAGCTGAATTTTCTTTTGGTGAACCCAACTCAAAAAACAGTTTAACTCTTGCAGCTCGCCATTTCCTCTGTCAAACTGACTTTCCTTTTATTTTACCTTGGATTAATGTCACACTACTTAACTCACATGGTAGTGGGTTGAACATGCAGAGACCAATGGTCATGAATTCTTCATTTTCTCTTGCTCTGACTCTCAACTCCCCTGAGCTCTCTTCACAGCACAAGTGAGCCATTTCGGCAGTGTTTGGGAAATCGGCTCCTGTCCCTAGTGTACTCCATTGCCTTTGTGTTGGGCCTCTGGCCTCTTTGGCTATGCTTCCTCTACTATCTCCATCAGCTTACTGCTTTTCAGAAAATTATTTTACTGGGTTTTATCTTTATAACTACAGATGCAGTGTTGGTTAAGCACTCAGGTAATGAATTCAGTAAAAAGCCTCTTAAAGTTTTCTCCCTGTAGTTAATAACTTTGCAGATTGGAAAGATGCTTATGCTTCTTTAAAATATGGTTCATGCCAGGCATGTTGGTGCAGGCCTATAATCCCAGAGGCTTGGGGGGCAAAGGCAGGAGGATCACGAGTTCAAAGCCAGCCTCAGCAAAAGCGAGGCACTAAGCAATTCAGTGAGACCCTGTCTCTAAGTGAAATACAAAATCGGGTTGGGGATGTGGCTCAGTGATCGAATGACCCTGAGTTCAATCCCCAATAATAGAAAAGAAAATATATGGTTCATTTTTCTGTAGAGTAGGGATAATAATAGCAGTGCCTAACACTTGGGTCACTACCAGCATGAACTAAGACAATGTTTCAAGTTCAGTTCCTGGAGACTAGAACATACTGGTAATATTATCAGTATTAACAATGTCATGAATAATCCTGTTTTTAAATTTTTGAATAGGCTGTATTATATTGTCTTGTATATTCTAATTTATCATGAGATTATATACAAGTTACATATAATTCATGATGGAAACATTTACCTATATGATACAAGGAAGGAATACATTAATAAAATAGAACAGCATGTATGTATAGTTACATATTTTATATATTTATCAAATTTCATATTTCTGCTAAAAACTTCTAATTATAAGAATAGGTATGGAGAAATATCACCATTTATGTTAATAGTATTCAAATTCCTAGGTTTTTATACCTGTTCCTAGGTTTTATTGGTATTTTTCAGGTATTTTTAGATGTTTTATATACATTTTACCAACCCAAGCACCATTTATATATTTTTTCTCCAAGTTTGCCTCTGTTACAATGAATTTAATATTTATGCTTTATGTTAAATAGATTTAAGACTGATTATAAAAAGCACTGAGGTGTTAATATTCTGGACTAAAAGATCAGAATTAATTCATTAATTTGGAAGTCAACTGACCCATTGTTAGGAATACGCAGAGGTAAGTGAGTTTTGTCCACTTTTCAATTGAAGGATGAGATTTATGGAGACTTGCTGATTTTTTTCCTAACAAATCAGTATTTTTCAACTACAAACATTGTAATAAATGGTCCAACTATAATAGTTATAGTAGCAACAACAAGGCCTTTCAGAATCCACATGGAAAATAAAAAAAAGATTTTAAAAAATCGGAAAGATTAATGGGCATTAGACTGGAACCAGCTAGCTTTTGTAGCGTGTTGTGATTATAGTTCGAACTTTGCTTTTCAGCCTGACATTCTTCACAGTCAACATGAAAGTGAAACAGGAGGAATTTCAGGAGATATAAAGGAAAAATCTACACCTCAAAACAGCAAGGATAGAGTCATCTGTGAGCTAAGAGCAGAGGTAAGGTATTGGATAAAGGGTGTAACATTATTAAATCACACTTGAAAATAACTAAATTATATACCATTTTAAATTGCACAAGTGAGGTCACTTAATGAGGGTGAGTGCTGCTTGTATACTAATAAGTTTATATACTTTATGTAAGATTATTTGGAATGATACTCCTAACTAGATGTGAGCTATCTGAGCAATCCAATAGACAATGTAAGTCTTATTGTGAGTAAATATCTATTGAAAGTTCAATCATCTGATGGAACATAATGTTAACTTATTTTCAGAAACAATGACATACAAAATATATGGCATGTGGATTCTGGTGACATTAGCAATGCTATTAGCAGCTAACAACACTAAGACATAGGATAAATTCACATTGGTTATAGCTAATTGATTTATTTTCCTTTCTGACTAGCAACTGCAACAGATAAATTTTCATGGATTTGTAAACTCAGAGTGTTTTTCTGGTCTTAGATACAAAGCAGGAATTATTGTTCTTGGACATAGGAGGAGGGATTGAATTATTTATATTTCATTGAAAACTGCGTTGCGTTAAAAATAGAAAATAGCAAATTATTTATTTTATAACTGGTGATTCTGGACAAATGCTTTGGATACAAATGTGTAGGAACAAGTTAGGAAATGGAAAAGAAGTTGGTAAAAATATAGGCTGGGAAGAAGGTGATTTGTATGAGGCATTTTGTTTCCTATAAAACTCTTCAAAGACAGAGCTCATGCTGGAGTTTATTTTATGTCAGATGAACCAAGTGCATTGGGAAGTACATAGATTTGGGAGTCAGAAGCAGCAGAATCATCTTCTGATTATTTTGTTGAATTCCTTAAGCCCCTCTGTGTCTTGAGTTTACAGAGATGGGAGTGATAATAGTCACAGTCATTACATAGGGGCTTTAAAAACAAAAATGTGCCTGGGGAATACTTGGTGGAGAAGAGTTCTTGTACTTTGGTACTCAGCCCAGCTGTTCTGGGGCTTCAGGTCTTGCCTGCACTGCCTCTCCCTGCTGCCAGGCTGTCCTTACCCCTCGTCCTCAAGACCCCTGGCAGGTGTTGGGAACAGGAATATGCAACAACAGATCCAGATGAGAAGGTGACTATTGAAAACAACCACTTTTCAGTCAAAGGAGAAAAGGATGGCTCTTGTGCCTTTTGTTTCTAAGAGGCATCCAATCCTCAGGAGAGCTGCCTCTTTCCCTGGGCTCTGCGCTCTCAAGTGCACCTTTGATAAAGCACAGCTGGACATGCACCTAACACCAGAAACAGAGGAGGGAGACCTGTCAGACTGCTTCCTGTAGCTCTCCTCAAAACCAGGGGCGTAGGTGCATACACGCACACATTTGTAATGTTTTTAAAGAGCAGTTTTAGTTTTACTGCAAAATTTGGCAGGAAGTAGAGTTTATATATTCACCCCTCTCTGTACAACATCTCTCAGGATTATGGTGCTTAGTAAAATCGATGAACCAACGTCGACACATTATCAACTGAGTCCAGGGTTTCCGTTAAGTTTTTACTATGTGTTGTACATTCTGTAGGTTTTGGCAAATGTCTAGTCACAAGCATCTATCCTAAAACTCCTGTATGTTCCACACACTTATCCCTCCCTCCCCTGAAACCCTGATGACCACTGATCTTTTCTTTGTCTCCATACTTGCCTTTTCCAGAATATCATGCTGTTAGAATCATGCAGTGTGTTGTATTTTCTGATGGACTTCTTCAACAGAGCAATATGTATTTAAGGTTCATTGACATCCTTTTTTGGTGGCTTGATAGTTCATTTCTTTTTAGTGGTGAATAATATCACATTGTCTAGATATACCACATTTTGTTTATCTCTTCGTCTTTTGAAAGATATCTCTATTGCTTTCCTATTTTTTCTACTATACATAAAGCGCCTATAAAATTTTTTCTGCAAGTTTTCAAGTGGAAATAAGTTCCAACTCCTTTGGATTAATACCAAAGATGTCTATTGCTGAATCATATGGTAATTATAGGTTCAGTTTTGTAAGAGACTGACAAACTGTCTTCCGAAGTGGCTGAAGCACTTTGCATTTGCTCCACATTGTCACCAGAGTTTGATGCTTGGATTTTGGAAATTCTAGTGGTTTTGCAGGGGCATGTCGTTGAGGTTATAGTCTAAAGTTTCCTAGTCAAGTGGGATACTGATGTTTGTTCCTATGCCTGTTTGTTATCTTGTCATCTGTGATGGGTTTTGTGTTCATATCTTTTGTCAACTCTTAAGTAAGCTTGTTTATTTTCTTATGATTGGGCTTTAACAGTTCTTTGTGTATTTTGTTTAACAGTGATCTGCCAGATCTGTATTTTGCTAATATTTTATCCTAAACACATAAAACTTCAAGGGTATGCATTAAAGAGGATCAAATGTAAATAAAATTTGCAATATTTTTTAAAAGTTAACAACTTTAGCCCAAAGAAGTTAATTATAATAAATCTTTTGAAAAATGATGTGATTATTTTAGGATGATCATATCCAATTGTTTTATTTTAAACATTTCCATATCTAAGCATGTTTATTATAGAAATAATTAGAAAGTATAGAGAATAAAAAAAGAAAAAAAACATATACATATAAATGTATTTGCTTATATATGTATATATGTATAAATGTATATGGTTTCTTAAAATTATACTTTTTTATGTTCACATAAAATTGTGTAATTATATCAATTTTATTAAAATATAAACCATTTTTTAAAAAATGGGTTCTTGTTTTAGATATACAATCAAGACTATAATAAGTAGCCTCATGCAAATACATACATTTAAAAACGGCTTAAATTCCTCGAAGTAAAATGGCTTGGTCAAGAGGATGTTTATTTTTGAAATCTCTTATACACATTGCCAAGTGCTCCATTAGAAACATTATATCAATTTACATTTTCACAAAGTATATCTAAAAACTCTATTATTCACAAAGCAAACATTAAAGAGAGTTAAAGAGCAGAGGCTTTCCACCTAGGCAACCTGGGAACCAACTGGCAGTCTGGTGATCTCCTGGGGTTTTCCTTGGGCTGTATATACATCACAAAGATGCTAGCCGTCTGGGAACACCAATCGGTAGAGACAGATGAAGAAACAAAAGCCATAATGAAAATGTAACCTAAGTTGGTTTGCTTTTGTCAAAGGGCCCGGGAGGATCAAGACAAAAGTTTGAAGAGAGTAATGCTTGAATCCAACCAAACTCACAGGAAAAAAAAAAAAAAAGAGCCCCACCTCCACTCCTGCTAGCAGAGGCTGAGTGGGGAGGACATCATTTCACCCTGCTCAGGTGGTAAAGAAGTTCCCCAATCCTCCTTGGGAGGATTGTTATGGTTTAGATGAGGTGTCCTCCAAAATCTCATGTGGAGACATGCTAGAATTTCCAGAGGTGAAGTGATGAGATTATGAGACCCTTAACCTAATTCATGGAGTGGATTTATCCACTGAAATAGATTAATTGGTTGGTAACTGTACGTAGGTAGGGCGTGTCTGGAGGAAGTAGGTCATTGGGAGTGTGCCTTTGGGGTCTGTATTTCGTCCTTGGGTAGAGGAGCTCTCTCTGCTTCCTGGCTGTCATGTTCTGAGGAGATCTTTTCTGTCACCCTCCTGCCATGATGTTCTGCCTCGCCTCAGACCCAGAGCTTTGGAGTCAGCTAACCATGGGATGAACCTTTGAAACCAGGAGCCAAAGTAAACCTTTCCTCCTCTATGTTGTTCTTGTCAGGTTATTTGGTCATGGCCGCAAAGAAGGTAACTAAAATAGACTGTCATTGCTAGTTGGCAGTAAGGAGGCCCCCCCAAGCTCTGGTGGTGTCCGAGGAAACCCCATGTAGAACTATGTGGATGAGGTCCAGCAGGCAGAAAAAACTGCTGTCACTGCCCAGCAGTGAAAGGAGACCCTGATTTGGGCCTCAGGGAGGCCAAGTGGCAAGTCAACCCTCATCTTCCAGGGGTTTTCAGTAGGACCCTTCCATAGGGTCCAGTTTTGTGACATAATCCCCCACATATGCAGACTACAATGAAGGTTACTCATTGAATGTTACAAATTGAATGTTACTCATCATATCTCAAAGCAATCAATCAACAGATGCCACCCCTGAAATGGCAACAATGTTTAATTATTTGGCAAGAATTTTAGACAACACTCAGTAAGCAACTGGGAGTGAAATACATTTCTTAAAGAAATAGTAAGCCTTTTAGTAAATAAATTGAAAGTTGCAGCGAATAGATGGAAGATGTAATCAATGAAACAGTGGAAGACTTAGGCACAAGAGCACACTGAAAATTTTAAAGTTAAGAATGGAGGAGACAAAAAAGAAGCAATGAACTTGAAGGCAGACTAGAAGAAATGATCCTGTCTGAACACAAGAAGAAAGTTGGCTACAAAAAAAAAATTGCATCCTCAGGGACATGTGGAATATGTAACAAAAAATCTGTTTGCATATCGGCGGTCATTATCAGAGAAGTAGCACTGGGCGGGAGAGTACTGAAAAGATGAGTGAAATTTAGGGAAAGGGTCAAAATTAGAGCCCAGAAGCTCAGCAGACTCCAAGGAGCATAAATCCAAAGACACCCATCATCAAGCCACATGGTAGTCAAGCTCAAGGGAAGCTAGGGAAAACGTCTCGACCTCATCACGGCCAAAGCCTTGCCCCACTGCAAGGACGAGCATTCAGCAGGCTTTGCACATCCCACCAGAAACCCTGGAGGTCAAGACAGAAGCAGCATGCCAGTGTTCAAGTGTAAAAGGATGGCCAACTGAACACGCAGTGCCTGATGACATGTTCTTGAGGACACCCGGAGAGCAAAAGGAATGTGACTCTAGCAAATCAGCACGTGAAAATGTGTCATTGAGAAAATTCAGACAGAACGACCATGAGATGTAACCACAGAGTGGCTAAAATGAGAATAAAATAGCCACAGCACTACATACCAGTGGAGAAGCAAAGCCACAGGCCACTCATCTATTGCTAGGGGAACGTGAACTGATG